CTTCTGATCGCCCTTATCCTCCTCCTCCTCCCCCTCATCATCACCATCATCATCATCATCATCACCACCACCATCACCATCACCATCGTCAAGACCGCCACCATCATCGTCATCATCAGCATCATCAATATCAACATCAACATCATCATCCGCCTATTCCTCCTCCTCCTCCTGCTCATTCCTCCCTCCCCACCCTCATCATCCTCCTCCTCTTCCGCCTCCGACTCCTCCTCCATCCCCCCCCCGCCCCTTTGGGGTACGACGGCCTCCCCTGCCCCTTGTTCCTCTGTATGCTGCCCCGCTTCCATGATCACCTCTACTCGCCTGGGCGTCGTTTCTGGATGGGCTGGTGGGGATACTTTTTTGTTCGGCGGCCCGCAAGGAAAAGTCCAGAGGGCGTGTCAGAAGGCAATGGGGCGCAATGCCAGATAATTAGTGAAGGCCAGGCCACGACTGGAGGGAGCCGCCAAGAGGGCGCCAACCCACACACAAGCAACATGCATAACCGGGCAGCAAGCCAGAGTGACTGACTGGTGGGGATACGCGAAGCGTCAAGAATTCCTTCTGGTGGTCAGGGCTGAAGTAGGTGGGAACATCATAACCATAGAGGATTGAGACATACGACTGTATCAGCGCTGGCGGTAATCACTATCCACTGAAAGAAGGCTGAGAGCACACTGGTAGCAACGAGGGGCAATGAAAACATCGAAGGCGAAATGGGGGCGTTGAGGATAACTCGCTGGCCCAACGGGCCGACGGCCTACTAGAATCACCTGTATCAGGGTCAGAGTGCTTGTGTATTCTATCAGTTCGCGCGCGCGAGGGGACCCTCTGTAGTTAGGTTTCCCTTTTCCCGTTGGGCGTTGGTGGTTGAAAGGGGTTATTATTCGAACCTCCTTCTGACCCTTCGGGAAAAGGCGTAGGCCCTCAAGACGGCCCAGGGAGAGCCCAAGGCGTTCCTAAGAGAGCCCCACAGGCTTCCAACATGGGTCCAAGAGGCCCATGATAGCCCCACGAGACCTCCAAGAGGCTCCCCGCGCGTGACTGCATGCTGCTACACATCCCACGTCTCTGATCGGGGCAACTCATGACAACTCGCCTGGTGATTGCTTTTGGACGGACTGGTGGGGAGATGCGAAGCGTCAAGAAGACGGGGGTGTCCTCTGGTGAGCCATCAGACGGAATTTCGCCATGACAGCCGACGCGCTGTCAGATGGGTTTACACCCTCACTGCTGTTCATCGATGAGGCATCGCATTCGGGATGCAGATCCTCAGCGATTGCGGATAGATCCTGACTGTAATGAGCCCTGGCACGGGTAGTGTAACAATGCCTCCGCGAAATCACCACATCCTTCAAGCACAGCGTGGCTGGTAACGAAATTGCACCTGTGTCGCTCTCCTCAGGATTTTCGGCTATGAGGAAAGCTCGCTTTGCTATGACTTTCATTGCTGGTGCTGGTGGGATGACAAGCTCAACATGTTCAAGATACTTTGAACAAACCCCAGGCTCGACATTGCTGTTCACTGCGTCAATGATCCACTCCTCGACCTGGTCTCGCGCAAAACGTGGTAACCAACGTACCAGCCGCCCCTGACGAGGCAACAAGTGACGGCTGCAACCGGCGTCGCTAATGAGGAAGCTCGGCTCGCCAGCATCGAACGAAATGTGCAACTCATCTACCGCCTCTGCCGAACTCTGCCATGCGCCACTGCCGGTCGCGTCGTGCTGCATCGGCGCGCGCCCGCCCTCGCCCACCGCCGCCGGCTGTGCTTGCGCATCCTCTTGGAAAGCTGGCGAGGGAAAGAGCAGGCGATCCACTTCTCGGCCCTCCAGACTCGAGCACCCGCGGTCGACCAGCCTTGAGGGGGCCCAAGGACACACAAATAAAGACACACAAGTAACAGGATTCCCCACATTTTTCAATATTTTTGTTGGATTTTCGTCTTCCTCCCCACTTCCCATATTTCCCCATGTTTTCTGGGGAATCGACGATTCATTGTGTCTGCGTGGGTTTTCCCCTCCCGAGGCCTGGCGTCCGAGGGGCCCGGCCCCAGGGTGCCCGCGGCCTCCTCGGCGGGAGCCCTCTTGGCCATCCTTACCTTGATGGGCCTGTTTTCCACCACCACCACCACCATCAGTTGGAGGAAGGAGGAGGACGAGGACGAGGAGGACGAAGAGGAGGAGGACGAAGAGGAGGAGGACGAAGAGGAGGAGGAGGAGGAGGAGGAGGAGGAGGTAGAGGTGGAGGAGGAGGACCCCCTCCCCCTCCAACTTATGGTGGTGGTGGTGGTGGTGGAAAACAGGGCCGTCCTCACCTCGCCGACCCTCTGGAAGCTGACGTGCACGTCCGCCCCCGTGGCCCGGTAGGGCACCAGGCGCGCGTCGAACTCCAGCGGCTGCCGCCCATTGCCCGGGTGTTGCTAGAAGTGCCCCTGGCCCAAGGTGCCCCCAGCTTTTCGCTCCCCTTTGGAGCCCCTGGGGTCCTCTGGGCCTCGTGAGGGGTGCCCTGGAGGCCGCCTGGGCCACCCCGAGAATCCTGGGGGTACCTTGGGCCAGGGGTACTTCTAGCAACACCCGAATCGCCGAGAGCCTGGGTGAAGGTGGCCAGCACCGGCTCTGCCACGTCCCACTGGCTGACGTCGTACAGGCGCGCGACCTTCCAGCGGTCCCCCGGGCCGACGGCGTCCAGTATCTGCGTTCCCCGCAGGTCTGCGCCGAAGAGAAGCTGGAGACTATCGCTGACATGTGAGATGGTTCGTGCTGGGCGAAAGGGGGGGGTAGCAAAGGGGGGGGGTTGAGAATCAGCTCACGTATAGCTGACTTTCCCGGCGCCTCCCGGCGCCAGAGGCGGCCATGTATCGAGGAATGGGCCCCTCGGTGGGGCCGAAAACCAGCTACGTGCAGCAAATTTCGTACCCCCCCCTTCCCCTATCCCCCCCTTTTGTCCGGCCCGAATGGTTCCCACCTGCCTCCTCACCGTGCAGTAGCCATCAGTCGCTCTGTCGAGCAGAGTCTGCATGGCGCCCAGCTGCTCCCTCAGCTCGTGGAAATACAATGCCAAGAGCCACTCGAACAGAGTCATCACGATCGAGACCATGCCTACCTGGCAGCTGACCTCAAACGCAGAGCTCCCAGAGACCAGACCACGACAAAGCAACATACAGCAAGCAGCGTAACATGTGACCAACAGAGAATGAAAGCCGGCAGCATGGCACAGAACTACTCTGCACGTCAAGGCTGCGGGCCAGAGAATATCATAGGCAGAAGCTCCCGTATGGCTTTGTTGCCAAGTTGCCAAACTCAACAGAAGCACAAGAAACGAATACACCAATACTACTGCATCCGACTTCAGCGTCGTCACGGGAAGGAGCACTAACAAGATTGCCATAACATATTCGCACACGTAGTAAGCAACAATAATACGCCAGGTCCCACCCGCCACCGTGCCTCTGGGCACGGAGTGGGCGTGCCATCAGGTCCTGCCCCTGATCCTCCAAGCCTCAGACCTCCATCCTGAGGAGTCTTTCCATGGCCCAGACTCGAAGTTCTCAAATTAGCAGGGGCTCCAAGACCCGCAAAGAGGGCCCCACCCTGAAACGGTCCAGGAGGGCCCCGAGCCGCCGAACCATCGCCCCAATACGCTCAAGATGGCCCGCAGACGAGCCAAGAGGCCTCCAAGACACCCCAGGAGGCCTCCAAGAGGCCTCCCAAGAGGGCCACAAGAGGCCCTTAATTGTCCTTCGGTTTTTTTAAAGATGTTGGCGTTCTCACCTTGTCGGCTTCCCGACGCTCCAAGACGGTCCCAGAGGCCCTCAAGATCGCCCCAAAACGGCTCCATATCCCAAGACGGCCCAAGAGGGCCCAAAAACGAGGCCCAGATGGGGAACCCGAACGGACATTTCGAGCCCTCGGCGCCGAGGGGCCCCCATAAGGCCTCAAGAGGCGCTCAAGAGCCCCCGAGAGGCTCCAAGAGGCCCCCAAGAGGCCCCCAAAAGGCTCCCAAGAGGCTCCCAAGAGGCACCCAAACTGCTCCCAAGAGGCCCCCGAAGAGCGCTCCGAAGAGACCCGAACAAGCATCCGTGAGAACTCTAACCCACAACCCAAGCACGGTGGTGGGATGGCCCCAAGGCCATTGGATGCTCTGGGGCTGACAGGGCGTAGACGACGTCCGCGATCAGACAACACGTCACAAAGATGCCGCAATACTTCCAGAGCCCGCGCCGGCTGATAGGAGAAGACAGATACTCTTTTGTCACAGTCGTTGCCCAAGATCGATACCAGAAGGAGTGCCAATCGACGCAGCAGCCAATGCCATCCACTAACAACCAGCGCCTCCGTGCTCCCAACAGGGGCTCCGTGTGCATTTCTGCGGTGCCCGTCTCCACTGCGAGGCCCGCGCCCCCGTCAGGAGACGGGCTCCTGGTGGCGTTCCGCAGCCGGCCTTGAGCGAAAAGGCCACGGGTGACTTTTGCCGCAGGCGGCGGAACACAGACACCCCTGCTGTGAGTGAAGAACACACGAAACGAAGGACATGGACTTCACTCCAAGCGTTTTCTTAAGCAGTCGTAGAAGTAAACAATTACAAACGTTCTATGACAAATAGGAGCTCCAAGAAAACGCACACTGTCCTGTCAAGATTCTTGATTTTTGTTCAGCGAAGTCTGGAGTCCATGAACGTTGAGATGGTTTCTTACGGTTCCTGATGGGTGTGCCGCATCAACCACCCTTCGGGAGATAAGGAGACTGGGGGCGGCGATGAGTGCAGTTTTCGTTTTGCTGTGCAGTTGGCGTCGGATTGAGTTCGCGATCTATTATATGTATGTGTGTATATATATACGCATGTATGTATGTACATATATGTATATAAATATGTATGCGTATATATATATATACATATATCTATATATATATATATATATATGTATATATATATATATATATATCGATGTCCGAGCTGTCTATCGATCTCTGCCTGCCGATCGCACTACCAATCTATAGATCGATCTAGCTATCTACCTACGAAAGTCGCTATCTATAATATACGTATGCATTCCTAACCTTCGTGGCCGAGGAAACTACAGTCTGACCCACATCCTGAGACATGCCAGAGCTCTCGAGGGCATCCATCGCTCCCTTGCTGGGACCCTAGGCGACCACACGCCACGCATTGATCTGAAAAACAAGTTTGCACGAACGCACATGCCAAAACGAGTCCGCAAGTGCGAACTCAAAACGCTACCTCGAAACAGTTGCCACAGAAAATGTGAGATGTGCCTGCAGGGGCAGGTCGCATAAAGTTGGGTGGAGGGAACGCAGGGGGAGCAGAAGCAACTTGAGCATATATGAGCGATGGATCGCCACAGACCTGGCCACGACACACGCTGCAAAGAGACACCAGTGATGGCTGCAATCCATACATTCCTAACCTTCGTGGATCCTGAGACCTGCCAGAGCTCTAGTGGGCCTCCATCGCTCTTTTTCCTGGGACCGTAGGCGACCAGGCAACGCGCATTGATCTGAAAGAATCAGTTTGCACGAGCGCATCTGCCAATGCGAGTCCGCGAGCGCGAACTCAAAACATTATCTCGAAACACTTGCAACATGCCTTGCATTAGTCCAAACGCCTGGCTGACGAAGGGCAGAGAGCAGACGATTAGGAGGAGCGGACGAGGCGGCCGCAGCAACGCGTCGGTCGCCGGCTGTCCGCTTCTGAAACACAGCATGCAGACGGGCGCGTTTTCCATATCGTGACACACTGCGATGATCTGCCCATTTGCCTCGGCGACGCACCTCCTCAGGTGTGTAGGCTTTTGTGTGGACATCAGTCGAGGGGTCACCGTGGCGCAGGCAGCGAGGAGCTGCCTGAGGCGTGAGATGCCGAGGCGGTCTAGCGAATCCCTGAACAATCAAAGCCACGAAGGCCGAAAGGGAATATGTAATGATCACTCTGAATGCGCGGATAGAGAAGCGCCATAGCTCTCGCGATCCACTTCCGACTGCGGACTTCGCCTATCACGCTGCTGTCATAATGAGCTATGGTCGTAGAGGGCCGACCCGACTCAGGAGGAGACAGTCGTAGACACCAGCGATCGTAGCACTTGTGAACCTCCGAGGCCGGTGGCATGACGCTGGAGCGGCGGAGCGCGCAGCCCGCGCCTGGCCGCAGGTAGCAGTCAAAGCGCAGGGCGACCAGGAGGGCGGCGAGTGGCAGCCTGTGCTGGAGCACGTCGCCCGCGATCCACCAGGCAAGCTCCAGCGGCGCTGGATCGCGCGCCTCGCCCGGCCCGAGGTTGCGCCAGCCAGCCAGCGCAGCGCGGCTCCTGATGTAGAGCTTCCGATCTTTGCGAGGCATCTCGGGATGGCGCTGCGCGCGGCCGCACAAGGCGGAGCGGGCCGCGCTCTGCGGCCCCCCGCTCAGGCACAGCTGCTCCATGCACTACCCCCCCAGCGCCCCATCGACGCGGGCAGGGGCGCCCAGGGGCCGCCCGGCGCGGCGAGCGAAGGCGATGAACTTGTCATTTCCTTCGGAGTAGGCACGCCGAGTTCCTGCCGAGCGAATGGCGCAAGCCCTCAGAAAACCCGGGGCGCGCTCAGCGCCGACCCGCTGCACGCGGACAGCGGCAAGACGGTCCCGTGCCCCAGGCGGCTGTCGCCCTGGCCCAGGGCGAGACCCAGTGGCGGTCGAGGCGCTTAAGCTCGCAGGTCGGGCGTTGGAGACTGGCCCGAGCGACTTCACGCAGCTCCTCTTGCCGGGCATCCGACAGCGGTGTTTCGCCAGGGGCGCGCTCGGCCCCGCGCGGGGCAGGTCGGCGAGCCGCCCAAGCCCAGGCCTGGCGCAAGGGCGGAGAGCACGCTGCGGCAAGGCTGGTCTTGCACCTTGACTCCTGACGACCGTCTCGAGCCAATGGCCTCACTTTGCCCTGTAGGATCTCGCGAGGCCCCGAACATTCACACTTCAGACTTAGACTCCCAAGGGCTTCGCAACTAGTAGCAAGGAGTGTAGGCTTCTTGTAGGAGCAACCGTAACGACCATAATGGTACGCAACAGACGAGGCGGCAGCATACTTTAGAGCCTTCTTAATCTCGGGCTGCCCGAAGAGGCTGGAGGTCTCGGGGTTCTCGAGGGAGAAGTAGATCTTCATATCGGAGCAGGGCATGATGAGCTTAGCCGCGGACCGAACGTGTTCCCGAGACACAGTGACCGAAGACCGTGAGGGCCGAGACTTACGTGAAATACTCAACGGGGTACATGGGGTCCCAAGGTGTAGATGCCAGATTCGGCCATCTCGGAGCCACTTGATCGCCGCGTCCTGGGCCCGACGGTTCCCGAGGTCGAACTCCCGCCACTTTGTGAAATCGAACGGCACGGCCGCCCTGAGGCCCATCTCCGCAAGCCCCGAAGGCATCGCCCCACAGCCCGAGCACAGCTCCAGGAAGGCAGGCGCGAAGCGTCTCGATGAAGAGGATTGCGTCGAGGGAGGAGGCAGAGGTAGCTGTGCGCGAGGTGCCCCGCCTGACGACGGACCAGACGGGACCTTTTCCTCTCGCAGATCGAAGGAATCTCCCGCAAGTGGCATTGACCCCCGAACTCGGGGGCAGCGATCAGCAACGGGCGCAGCTGCCCGAAGCTGACGAGAGAAAGCAGACGAGGCCGTGCAACGCGATCGGCCCGAAGAAGTCGCGGCAAAGGTTTTGTTTTTCTCGTCGTCGAACCGTCGTGCCCCCTCGTCTGCTGGGTTTCGCTCGGACTCGATGTGACGGGGCCTCGGGCCCATGCCACAACCAATGGAATAAGCGGCACACCTGCGGGCTAAGGCAAGCAAGCCAAAGACTTTAGCTCGGCCCTTCTCGAGACAGCAAAGTGAAGAGAGGTTGTCAGACAGCGCCAGAAATCGCCGCCCATGTCCTGAGCGACGGTAAGATCATTGGCGAAGAGCCATCAGTATCCCCCCCCCTCCGTCACGTGGATCGCCCCGTCCCTCTCCCACCTTCCTCGAAAAGCGCGCGCCAGCGATCAGACTCCACGACTCCATCTGGCAGGGCCGGGGCCATGCCCGCAATCTCCTTTCGCTCTGTCTACGTTCTTTGCCTCGTTGTCTACATGCCCCAAGACGTGTTCCGCCGACTCCAGCGCACCCGAAGACGGGGAAGGTAACCCAACAGACTCCAGAAGCCACCGTGAATATGATGTATCAGGCACTTCGAGATCAACGGACTAGCCAGGACTCAGGGGCGGCAAGGCTCCCGACGACCTCAAGACATCCCGCGATGAACCCTTCCGCCTCCGCGAACCTCCAGCGCCCCTTCCACCTGGTCGGCTTCCGGGGCCCCTCTGGGCCCATGGGGGTGTCCGTGACTGCGTATCCTCTTCCTGATGCATCTCCACAGTGGGCTCGATCTGAGGGGGGAACAGACAGGCGGGCTTCGGCCAGAAAAACGAGTCCAGCCATCATCCTGAACTCGCGCTTGACCTTGCCCGGAATCTCAGACGCCCGCCCGAGACTGTCGCTCGCGAATCGGTAGGGGTGGGCAAGCGCAGACATCGCCGGCCTCAGATGAACGAGGCAGCGAACGCAGTGGCCTAGCAGCACGCGGACTGCCTCACCAGCCACCCGACGCATCTTCAAAAGAAACTTTACCCTGGGATACAACCGCCAAGCCCTCCCAGACTTATAGCGAATGCTGCGCCTACTCTTGTCTATGACAACCCCCGCGCTCTCTGCCAACATCCCGTCGCCCCCCCCCCCCCCTTGCAACGCGAGCCCGACCCCCTCGAGCCCCCTCTCGATGGCTGCGTAGTCAGAGACCACGTCTGGACAGGAGAGACCTGCACTGGCGAGATTGCCCACGCACGCACTCGAGACAGGGCCAGCTCGCAGATCAGGAGCAGGAAGGCCTTCCTGGACTAAACGATCACACCCTCCCATCGCCACGGAGGTGAAGTACTTCACAGAAGTCGCGCAAAAATGCAGGGCCCAGGACCGCCCCCGAGGCAGCCCATGGAAGACCGGGAACACCTTCTCGGAGGAGCGGACGGGGCGAAGCCTCCCGAGATCGTTGTCGCCTACCTCAGTGAGACCGAACTCGGAGCAACGGACAGGGTCGTCCAGGCCAAACAACTCAGCCGTCGACTCGACCGAGAACTGGTAAAAGGCGTCCTCGACGTCGCCGACGCGCACCGAGAGGTCCGGCACCTCGACGATTGGGCCACAGCCCTGGTTGAGCTCCGTCAGCTCGTCCTGGTCAAACCAGCCGTCGAGCTGAGACAGAGCGCCGGCACCCCCGAGTCGTGTCTGCGGAAGTAGGTGATGGTGGCCGCTGGGCATTCGAGCGTCGACGATGAGCCGAATGCCACGCCGAGACGACTTCCACAACAAATATACCCACCTTGGCCGCGATCCGAGTCCCGAAACGAAGTAGCCCCTTCTCAAACAGCTTGCGATATATACATCAAGACGAGCTCGTCGATCCTGCCGAAGACTAGGACCCCAGAACGGCCTGTGGGTGGGGCGCCCCTCATCCCAGGCATCAACCTCTGGCTGCGAGCGGACGAGGTACCGCTCAGGATCGATCGAAAATGCCGCCTCCTCAGGCGGCAGCAAGTCGACGGCGGGCTTTGGCACCGCGTTGCCCTTCGCGACCTTCAGAAGATCAGGCCGGTACGGGGCGAGGTTCTTCTCGCCAACGTACTGCAGGTCATTCGCCGTCAGAGACCCCCAAATAGCCTCGCGCGCTGTCATCCCCGTCGGCATGGGCCCGCAGCTGCTCACCGTGCCCCTCGCGCGCGCCATGGCAGCCGACTGGGTAGATGAAGAGCGCCGACGGGGGTGAAGGCCTAAACCAGGCGCCTCCTGAACGAATCGAAGACGCCGTCGAAGCAGCCCGAGTGTTCAGGCTGCGCACCGCTTCAGCGACCCGACGCTGCTTGCTGCGTTGAGCAGTGAGCCAAGGTGCCCGTCGATGGGGGGGGGGGGGCGCGATCGCCAAGCTGATTCACGCGCGGAATCGGCAGCGGGAACGGATCTCCATGCTCGGGCCCACCTCCTCTGGCCAAAAACTCCCCACTTAATACTCGAGAGGCGGGGCAAGGGAATGTCTCTCCCACGCCCCCCGGCTGCTGCGGAGGCGCCATCCCTGCCCCTCCTGCGGCGCCGCAGGAGAGGCTTTGGACTTGGCCTTCGCCTTCGGGTGCGAAGGTGGCCCCCTGTCGGACGTGCGGCGTCGCTTCGCCGCCTGCTCCTCTCGCCACTTCCGCTGCGCCCCCATGGCATCGGCCACCCCCTTCTGCTTGGCGCTGAGCCAGCTGCTGAAATCGTGCAGGCGGGCGCCCCCGGTCTCGTCGCAAGACCCGATCGTGCCGACGTCGAGACCTGTGAAGTCGGAATGCTTCGGGTTCCTCCTGATCGCCTGCTGGGTCTCATGAATCACCCGCACCGCCTGCTCGATGTAAGCCATATTTGTGCGGCCCACCTGATCATAACTGACCGCGAGGCGCACGATCTGGACAAAGTTCCGAAGCTCATGGGAGAACGACGAGTTCTCGCTGACTCCGGACTTCCTCATGAACGCATTCAGCCACACCAGGAGATCACCGCCGTTCAGAAGAACCGACTCGAGGAACTCCAATGTAGCTTTTGGCCCCGGGTGAAGCCAATCACTGAACGACTTCGGCGTGATGAACTCCATCGCCCGGGCGAGGGGCAGCGCCCTCTTCTTTGCCGAGTTGACGCGATGCCCAGGAAGCCGAAGGTCACCCGAAGCCCCACCAAGAAGTCCAGGACGCTCACGGGCAAATCACTCGTCATGATCATCATCCTTCACGAGCTCAACTAACTGAGTGGCTCCACTGATGAGCGCCGGCCTCTGAACCTTCGTGCCGTCGTCGCGGTCCTCGGTGGAATCCACGAGCTCGACCGCTGCGATCACCTGGTCGAAAGCCTCCGACGGGGGGTCTGCGACCCACCAGCTCGAGCCCGCCAGTCCCATCTCAGCCCCGGGAGCAGCGACCCCCACAACTTCTGCAATCCCGCTCGCTTGCTCCCTCATCGTCGCGATATGTGCCGCGGCCCGCTGAGGCCCACGGAAGAAGCACAGCGCCCCAGCGAGGTCAGCAGGGAAGGCTCCATTCCGAGTCAAAGTCCTCACCTCTACACCGTTGAAGTCCTCTTCGTGAACGTCGCCGTCGGGGGTCCCGATGATCCACCGCCCAGGCGCGACTCTCATGCAATGGATAAGATGGTGGTAATGAAGCCCAGCCGCATCATCATCATCATCATCATCATCATCACCATCATCATCATCATAGTAGACTAAGATCTGCAGCTCATCCACATCTAAAGTCCGATTGATCGCCGCCATGCCGCAACCTCCTCACGAGTCGCTGGACCCTGCAAGGCTGCAGCACCTGAAGACCCGCGGCCGCCGAGCTTCGCGAAAAGGAAGCCCAAAATGAACATGACTAGACCCAAGCTGACCGAGATCTCCAGGGACAGCGCCCGCCTGCTCGAAGGCGGGCCCTCAAGGGGTGCGTTTCCACCCACACACACACAGTCTGGGCAGAGAGCTGCCGCCGGGCACGAACACGCCAGCGCTGCAGGGCACGAAGCAGGACGTCCCACGGCCTCTCGGACGATCTCGAACACGGGATCGCGGATCCCCCGCCGCTGGAGCAGCGGGGCAGTTGCACTCGCACCTGGTGGGAGCAACCGCGTCTCTAGTCACAGTGTATGCGAAGTGGGCGGCCGAACTCCACGGGAGGAACCACTCGAGCAGATGCTGCTGACCTCGCTCAGCAGGAAAAAACTTGAGCATATATGAGCGATGGATCGCCACACACCTGGCCACGACGCACGCTGCAAAGAGACATCAGTGACTGCTGCAATAGATGTCTATCGCGCGATCTTTCGGTCTCGCAACTGATGTGCCGATCTCGCCATCAGTCAACCTAATGTCCCACAATGCATCTGTATCACGCTATCATAAAATCTTGTGTTGCATCCTCGGGGGACCTTGTCTGTCCCGTCGCGGCCCTGTCCGTGTCGAATCCGTGTCGAATCCATGTCGGACGCGTCGGATCCGTGTCGAATCCGCGTCGAATCCGCGTCGAATCCACGCCAAATCCGCGTCGAATTCGCATCGAGCACGCGTCGGGCCCCCCAAAAGACACCAACTTTTGGGACAGGCGAGGTCCCCCGAAGATGCAACAGAATAGATCGTCAAACGACCAGCCTCACCTTCGCCTCCTTCCCGGAGCCCCAGTCCTCAGTCCCGAGGGGCCTTCCAGGGGTCCGAACTCCGAGATCTACCGGGGGGCTTGTCTGTGTGCCCTCGGGGCTCCGGCGCACTCCCCGGCGGGAAGTCCTGCGGCTCCAGGGGGGCTCCACGAGGCCTCCAAGACGGCGCGAGAGGGCCCCGATACGCCCCGAGATCGGCCCAGGACGCCCAAGATGGCCCCAAGACGACCCAAGAGGCCTCCCAGACGGCCCCAGAGGCCTCCAAGAGGCCCACGAGGCCCCCACGATGGCCCCAGCACGGCCCCCAAGAGGGCACCACGACGGCCCCAGAGGGTCCCAAGACGGCCCAAGAGGCGCCCAAGACGGCCCAAGAGGACGCAAAGACGGCCCCAAGAGGGGGCCCAGATGGGGACCCCGAACGGACATTTCGAGCCCTCGGCCCCGAGGGGCCTCCAGGAGGCGCTCAAGAGGCCCCAAAGAGGACCCATGAGGCACCCAAGAGGCCCCAAGAGGCCCTCAAGAGACCCCCAAGAGGCTCCCAAGAGGCCCCCAAGAGGCTCCCAAGAGGCCTCCGAGAGCGCTCCGAAGAGACCCGAACAAGCATCCCTGAGAACTCTGGCCCACAACCCAGGCACGTAGACCAGCTTGGCATCGGGACGGCAAGCGAGGGTTCTTTCTGTGGGGGCGCGAGGTCGCTGGCTAGTGGCTTGGAGCTCTGCTGGTGTGAAGGCTCTGGCACGACATGCATACATCGAACACAAATCCCTGCGAAAATCAGTGAGCATTGCACTTCCGGGGCCTCCCTGGGCCCACCCGGGGGCGCTCGGCCCTGACTTCCCCGCGGCGCTGGCTTGGGCAGACCAACGACCTCGGGCGCCGACCCGCGGAGCTCACGCGGCTTGAGCAGGGACCGACCGTACCAGCATTCCTATAGTCATACCACGAAGTGTTCTTAGAACCCAAAAATGTTCTAAGAACAAATAATGTTCTTAGAGCACAAGCCCGATGTGTTAAAACAAGACAATCCTAGCCAGACATGTTCTAAGGACATTTCGTGGGAACCACAACAAATTCTTAGAACTTTGTTTGGTGGGGCTATAGGCGAGCCGGGACGCTTCGCCACTGCTTGAGCGGCGGGCCGCCCGAGGGACTGCTGCCAGTCTTCGCCGTGCCGGCTGGGCGCGCGGTCGCTGCTGCCCCGCGAGATCGCGCCGAGCTTCCCTGGGCTCGCTCGCGCGGAAGGCGGCCGCTGCCACGCAGCGCAGCGACCCGAAGACTGCGCGCGGCGTGTGCGCGCAGCCTCGGCGCGGCCAGGCCTGCCCAGAACGCCTCGGCGCGCACGAGCTCGATGGCTCGCTAACGACGTCCCCCGCCGAGGCAACTGGCGAGGCGGGAGGAGCACGTCGCATCCGTGCTCCAAGGCGAGCTGGCCTCGCGAGGCCAACTGCACTGCGGGGCGGAACCGGCGCCGCTTCCAGTGTCCCTCGACGCGGGCGTCGTGTGGACTGCGGTCGCCACTGACGCGCTGGGCAAGAACAATCCTCCTCCTCCTCCTCCTCCTCCTCCTCCTCCTCCTCCTCCTCCTCCTCCTCCTCCTCCTAAGGGCGTTGGACCAGATGGCATATTCCCGCGGAACTGCTGCAGGCCGGCGGAACCTCCTGAGCCGTCGCGTGCTTCGAGATCAGTTGCTGCGCGGCCGCCACCCGTCAGTGGCCCGTCAAATGGTTCGGCGACATCGTCCACGTGTGGAAAAGGAAGGGCGACCCGGCTGTGTGCGACAACAGCCGTGGTTTGCTCTTGGCTGACCACGCGTCGAAAGCCCTCGCCTCGCTCGCAAACGAGGACATGGGCGACGTGTACACTCGCCACGTGCTGTCACACCAGTGCGGCGCGGTCGCAGGGCGTGGCGCAGACGTCGCCACCCACATCGCCCGTTCGCTCCTCGCCATTGCGTTCGACAAGATCGTCCGAGAATTGGTCATGGGATGGGGGTCGCGTCCGCTGGAAGAGACCGTGCCGCATCTCATCGCGCTCGGAGTCGACCTGGCCGCTGCGACGTGGATCGTGGACGACGTTGCGAGCCGCGGATGCGTCTTCGAGCAGTGAGGCGTGAACCCGACTACCCTTGGCGTGCTGCGGACTCTCCACGAGCACTCGTGGCTACAGGTGCGCGGCAATGCGCGGCAGTGCGCAAGCCGTACGTTCGAAGACTGGTGGGCGACAGGGCTGCAAGGTCGGGTCGCATGTCTTCAATGCTGGCTACTGCGTTGCCCTCGACCTCCTGGACACCCGGCGCGCGGAATACGGGCTTGCGTTCCGCGCTGTGGAGCCTGATGGCCCATTCTGGCAGTCGCCGTGCGGGGAGGGCCATCAACGATGCAGTACCTCTCCTCGCCGAGGTTGATGGGACGGCCCCCGCCGCAGCGAAGTACTGCGAACGCGTCACGGAGGTGGCCCAGCAGAACGAGGTGCTGCCCGACCCGCCCTCGGAGACCGCCGCGGCTGCGGCAGAGCCGAGGGTGACTGAGCTGCACCAGTCGACCGAGCTAGAGGTTGACGTTTCAGATACTGATTCAGATTCAGACCCGCTGCTAGAGGGAGGACGTGGTGGTATGTATTCGCAGTGGCGTCGGGGGAACGACAAGGCGACGATGCAGACCCAACTGGCACTCTTGGAGGAGCGATTGCGGGACTTGGCGGGCCAGGTCCGTGGGAGCAATCGAGCACGACCCAAAGAGAAGCCACAACATCGTACTCGTGATAGTGTCCATGAGAAGACTGATAGACGTCGGGACCCTCGTCTGTTGGTTCGTCTCAAGCGCCTCATTCGCCAAGCGGATGAACAAGATCAGCCTCCGACCCACAAAGAGATGATCGCAACATTGAAGTACCTGCTCGAGGACAACTCGCCCAAGAGCAAGAAGACCGACCAGAACGCCGTGGCCAAGGGCACGGGGAAAAGTGCTACGACGTCGCCTAATACTTTCAAGCTGCTACAACACCCATGGGGATCATCATCGGTGTGGCAGGCAGCACGCATGAAAGACAAAGACTACGACCCACAGGCACCACCAGTGATCGCCTGCAAGGGACGGAAGGAGTACGACAACGTGAAGGAGTGGTTTGGTGCCAAGGGGCACCCGACCGCGACAGCCACGTACGTGCTCTTCGATGAAGTTACCAAGTTGGATGGTTGGGAGAACATCGACGTTGCGGTCGAGGCTAAAGGTGGGGGCGCCACATTGGTTCCAGCTCAAATATTACGTACGGGCCAGAAGGCCCCCCCAGGAGACAGGACTACCGACAGGAGTGAAAAGATAATGTGGAGGTGGCAGCCCCCACGGACAAGCCCATCGCGGTGAGAATTACGGTCGCCCGAGACTTCGCACCATATTGGCTATACGCAGAAGCAGAAGAGAACCCAGTGGCCCTACCAGCGCTCGTCCTGAGCGCGGCCCTCACAAAGCAAGTCGTACTCCGACGCCTTGATCCCACGAGGGGGAGGTGAAGGCGTGGGCACTTGACCGCGGCTTCAAGAATGTGAACAGCATCGCACGTTGTGGCACGAGACGCTGGTTTATTCGAGCAGATCTTGAGCAGTTGGAAAGCGGCAGAGTTTTGGAATTCAAATCAGGGGTGATGGCCAGCCTGGCGGCGCCGCGTCGCGGGAGCTCCAGGCCAGCGCCAACGAAGTCACCGAAGACGGCCTGGGGCACCCCAAGCCCTACAAGACATCAGCCCGAAGCACCAGCAGAGACTGCCTCACAAGAGGCCAAGCCAGACGCCGACGGTGATGCAGCGATGACGAACGCG